TCTTAAAATTAAAATATCTTTTGCAGTTAACAAAGATGTCAGAAAAGATAATTAACAGGATCTACCAACTAATAATATATTTGGCCAAACATAAGTGTAACATAATAAAAACTACAAACAACTATATAATTGAGCATAAAGATTTAGAAAACTGTAAATCATTAAGTTAAGAAATAGCAACAAAACAAATAAGAAGTTTACTTACAAGACTTAATAGAAAAGATTCTCTAGGTAATCTAACAAAGCTTAGAATAATACAATGATGCCAGAAAGCAAGCTTAATAAAAGATATTTGAAATTTTGAAAAAAGGCCAGAAGAAATAAAATATTGGAAGCACAACTTAGCTTATTAGACAATAGTCAAAACAAAAAAAATAGAAATAAATATCAAAACAGAAAACTACCTGTAGAAAGTATATGATCATGAAACAAGAATAAAAAACTTAGTTAGAACCAAATCTTGAATAACAAGTAGCAGCACAATAAACAGATAAGGTTTATTATACTTGAACCAACTTATAAACATAAAAGAAAAGAGCTAATTACATGAAAACAGCTCAAAAGTTTCTAAAAACTGTCATGTAAAAAGAAAAAAGCCAAATGGTTTAATAAAATAAAAGAAAAGATGTTAATAATACAGACAAGCAGAAAAATACATAACCAATATAAGATTAATAACTACAATACTTAGGCACTAATAATTAATTGGACAAAGATATCTGAAAACAAAAAAAAAGAAAGAGTGAATCATATATGAACTGAAACACAATAGGTTTTGCAAAAAGTAGAAGGAAAAATGCATACTGAGATAAGCAAATACAAAGAATATAAAAATGGAACAGAACAAGTAACAAATAATTGTAAAAGATAAATAAGATGGAACAATAATATAAAAACAATCTTAGAAACACTAGTAAAAAAAGGCAGTAACAAAATTAATGTACTGTCAGAACAAATACTAAAAAACAGAACAATAAAGGAATAGAAAAAAGAGAAAAGAAGACTAATTAGACTGAAACAAATAAAAGAACTCAAGATAGAATTAATCAAAAAACAAAAATTAGATAATAAAATCATAGCTTATTTAATAAAAGTCCTAATGAGAAACAAGATAGGAAATAAAGACAAGTATATCTTTTATACAGATGAAGCATTATATAAAGAAAAAAGAAAAAATAACATAGAAAAGATGGATATTGGTTGGGTACAGATCAGTAATGAAGAAAACTGGCCAGAGAAAGAAATGACATTAGAACTTAAAGGCTGATCTTTAGCAACAACAGCAGAATTAGCAGCAATATGGTTGGTAATTTTTACTGTTTCAGAGGAGAAGAATATAGAAATATATACAGATGGTCTTGCAGCACTAAGGAACATTAATAGAGCAATTCAAGAGTTAGAAAACAACAAAGTTCTAAAAAAAAAAAATACAATGTGAATAATGAATATTATGAATTTAGTTAAAAACAAGAGTAACAGAATTAAACTAGTTTAAGTTAAGAGTTACAGCAATAATAAGTAAAATGACAGAGCAGATGTATTTACAAAGAAGAAGCAATATATAAAATGACAATATCTATAGAGAAGATCAAGTATTATAGAATAGAGTACTATCTAGAATGAAAAAACAGAAAAGTTGATATACTAACAAGACTTTTCTGCAAAATAGTTATGAATACCAAAATTAAAGCTAGTTAAAAAGAAACAAATCTGATTTGAGCACTAGAACCAGAAACAGAAAACATTCAATATAATTGGTCAAGCTTTTGAAAAGAGATGAATAGAACAAAAGACATATACTGCATAACAAGAAAACTTAGTACAAGAAGAGCAACAGTAATCAAATATATAATAGATAATCTACTAATACTAGAAGAATTAAACAGAAAAAGATCAGAAATATATATAACAACAAATTGCCAAGTATGTTAAACAGGTGAAAAAGAAACTCAGGTACATTTGGCAAGCTGCAATTAACAAAAGAGTTTGTAGAAAAGAATTCAAAAGGTAGCAACAGCAACAGCATAGAATAGTTTTAAAAAAAATAAAAAAATCAGAATTCCATCTCAAGTGCTATATGAAGCAATATTTGAAAAAACAGAAGCAAAGAAAATTGTTAACAGAAGAGTATTGATAAAAAGACTAACTATAAACAAAATAGACAAAAGGATCAGTTAGATTCTAAATAAATAAGTAATACAGAGATGCATATAAATAATAACAAGAACAGTATGTAATGTATTCTATGACCAAGTATGAAGAGTTTGATATAGAAAAATACAAGAATGAGAAAAGAAGATGAACATAACAAGCAAATAAAAAAAGATGCTTAAATTAAAAAAAAGTCAAAAAAAGAACAAAGAAAGATGAGTTAACAAAAAAAGAAGAAAAGGAAAAGAAAATAAAAAAAATAAACCAAATGAAGAAAGAAACTTAAAAGACAATTAATATGCTTGTTACAAAAAGAGAAAAATCCTTCTAGTATGGCTTTAAGTAATTAAATAAATAGTCTATCTCTAACTAAGATAGTATAACAAGTTATACTTAAATACTAATAGAATGGCTGAGTGATGCTAGACTTAGGTATTGGAAAATTCTATATAATTATAAATGTATATAGTTTCAAAAATCTGAATAAAGTACTAGCATAACTGCTTAAGATTAAAAAAAAAATAATTTAATTTAATATATAAGATGTAGTAATCTAGTAAAGTAAACAAGTTATTAACTCTCAAATAACAGATTTAAGGTTCAATTTTAGGAATAACAATTATACTTGTATTATAATAATTGTTTTTTGTTAATTAGTTAGATTTAAATATCTGTACTTTTAGATACACCAAGTTAAATTTACTTAATACATATTAAAAGTTTAAAGCATCTATGCAAAGTATAATATTACATATATATAAAGAAATCTAAAAAAACTAGTGTTACATAAACTTCAGTGCAAACTTATGATAAGACTATCAAATATAAAAGACTAAAAAATTGAAAAGTTAGAAACCTATTTTAAAATCTAAGTAAAGAAATAATACAAACTTTTGATATTACTGTTGAACTGATAGAAGTTTATAAAATATTATCAAAAAGATAAATAAATAAACTAAATAACAAGATGTATAAAAAAGCACATAACCAACCAAGTTACTAAAATTACTAAAAGAAAAAAATATATTAATTTATTATATTGGATTATTTGGATTAGTAGTCTAACAAGTTCTGTTAGTTTTAAATAATAGTTAGTAAGAAAAATAAAAAAAAATATCAAAAAGATAAATATTAAGATTTGAATAAATTTTACAAAGATATAATAGTTTTATGATTAGCTCTAACTGTAAGTATTAGTTTAGATCAAAATAATACTAAGTCAGCTATAAGTATAAAATACAAAAGGCTTTAATAGGTTTAGTATAAAGTTAAATATAACATAATGATTATGATATGTTTGTACTAAGATGTAGTTGGTAGGATATAGGAACTAGAATGTTTAAATAGAAAACCTATAATTAGATTTTAAGTATAATAATTAGTATAGAATCTTTAGATAAACTATTTAAATTAAACAATAATTAAAGTTATACAAGTAATTAGTTGTATATTTTTTTTATAATTACTTTTGTAATTATTGTATATAACAACTATAAGTCAAATACTATCAATAAACTACTAAGTGTATATACTTATCTAAACATTAAAAAAAAATTAATAATTTGATATATAAAACTAGAAATATAATAGTACAATAACAGTAATACATTTACAGATATTTGTAAAAAACATATATGTTTATATTATAACCAAAACCAACTATAAAAGTATACAAAAAAAAGTGTATATAGTAATTGCAAATTAATAATCTAAAACTTGATAAATTCAATTGTGCTAATCAGTACCAATATATGAAAAGCTGTGTACATCAAATTGGTAACAAAAAGAACAAAAAACCATTAGAGTCAACCAATTTAAAAAAAAAGAATTACTATAAAAGGTAGATAGGAAGATTATAATTAGAAAAAATTAGAAAATATTGTATAACAAGATAGCTAAAACCTTATCTTAATTAGTAACAATAATTGTTAAAATACTGTAATACTAATCTTAATTTAGAAAAATGTAAATACATATAATATCATGTTAAGTATCTATATAATAATATAGAGTATGAATGTAATATAATAACTTTTATATATTAATCTGGTATTAATTAAATAAAATATTACGATTTGGCATTATAAAAAAAAAAAAAATTTAATATAATAATCAAAAAAATATTATTACAAAAATTTCTAATATAAAAAATAAATAAACCGAAAATACAAGCAAAATCAAATCTAAAAATTTTAAAAAATTCTAAATTAAACAAATTAATAGTACTATAGGTTCGAACAAGTCAACTAGGCTGATAAAATTTATCGAATTAGTCATAACCAAAAAATTATGCTCAATCAAGACCACTAACTATGAGTGAAACTTGTAAAATTTTTCTTAAGAGTTTCTTATATCAAAAGCTACTTGTATTTGCTAAATGACATGCTATATAATATACCAAATATTTTACGGATTAGAGTTTGGAACCGGTTTTATTTTTATGTTGATTTTAACCTAATGGAATTTAAAAAATATACACGTTTGAATTAGGTGCAGGTGAATAATTTGGACGTTTCACCTGCACCTCTAATGGAGACACAGTGGCTCTCGACATAACGAAGACCATGGTCCAGTCCTTTGCACCATAATATGATATATCGGATATAATAGTAAATCATAATTGGTTCTATCATAATTTACCGTATTAAGCAATATCTGTTATATCGAAAGCCAGTATATTCTGCACAGCGGATATTGAATAGAAGGATATTTAAGTCAGTACACTATGTAGTTATTAGTATAAAAAGTTACAGGTAGTTCACAATTTTGATACTTTATTTACTTGCGTTTTAAATTTACATTTTGCGTTTCAATTATCAATTTTGCATATACAATCGAGACTGACCTACCTGTGCAGACTTATAGTACATTAAATCAATATAACCAATGTATCGTTTACTAATAAAAAAAAATCAAGTCATTAAAAAAAATTTTATTAAAATGGTGAAATAAGTTAAAAAATATTTACTCTCCAAAGCCGCCGACAAAATAAATGTCAACCACGTTTAATCGATAAAAATTAAAAGCATGCCCTTTGTTGGGGATCCTAAAATAAAGTGAATTTAGGTGTATTATGTGATAGAACCTAAAAATTTAATAACATACCAAAAACGCGCTCGTGGATGCTTTTTCAGGAAGCATTCCTGTACTGCTGGAATCTAAACTTGTTAATCTTCAATAAGGCTATTTGTCAACAGATAATAGTTTTTAAAGAACAATATTGAAAATTACTTCGTCTTTTTCAATTCTCACTAATTTGCCAAACAAATTTAATCTTGGTTCGGCCATTGGAAAGTAAGTTTCATTTTTACTGAGCTTTTGAACCATCAATGATACTTTAAAATCATTTTCGCGTGCATTTTTGATATTCAACTTGAGAAATAATTCAAAAATTGTTATAATATGAATAATTGTCAAATCACATAATAATAATAATACTTACCTGATAATCAGACAAAAGCATCAAAGGATTACCGGTTGAAGGGCAGTCATCAGAATAGTAGTCAAATAGGCCAAAAGGATATCCTTTAACACAAGTCTCAATATTTGAGTAAAATTACACTTTTGTGATCACTGTAATCGGACACAAATAGTACCTTGCAACTCTTCCTTTGCAAATTTGTTCATTACAGTTACTAAAGTTCCGGTTCCAGTAACTGACACTAAAGACCGCGCAACTATAGCAGCCTCTTGTTCTGTTTGTGCTTCACGAGTATTCCAGAAATTAACGCCGACATTGTATGTAATCAGAGTAAGAAAACAAATAAGGTATAAAAAAAAGCTTAACATATCGATATTAGAAGTCTTGAAAAACTAGTCGATAAACTAAAAGCTAATTTTTGAAATCACGTTTTGCCTTATTACCCGGCAGTTTGGGACAGGGACGAGAATTTACTGCGATCACAGAAAACAGCAGAATTATTCTTTAAAAACAGCTAATCACAGAAATTAACTCCGGTAATCACAGGACATCACATAATTTAAAATAGTAGCACAGAATTTCAAATAATATGAAGTTTCTTACAGAATTAGGCTGCTCCGTCAATTTTGATAGCCCAAATATAGTATTGTAGCTTATGCATAAACCCGTTCCAAGGTTCAAAACGTTCAAAACCATGGTTTATTATCAAAAATCTTCTTTAAACAAGTATTTTCGAACTTTAATCTTCTTCAAACAAGTATTCGTTATAATACTAACCTTTAATCTTCTTCAAAATAAGTATTCCTTAATTTACTCATTATTTAAATAATTTAAATATATCAGTTTGTACTAATTTTACCTGATTTTTTAGAAGTTATTTTCCAATTCCGTATTGTAAGAAGGATAGTTGTTCTTGCGCATGTTTTTAATTCCTGATTATGTAGTTTTTTACATTGTTTTTAATGTTAAGCTTATTAATAATCTGCTTAATAAAAAGAGAATATACTTCTAAATTGTGCTTTTTTTATTAAATTTTACTTCGATATTTTTTCTTTTGAATTATAATGACAACTCGAAAAAAAAAGATTTCTATGTTATTTCGTCTAAATGAATATCTGGATGTTTTTAGAGAAGATAGAGGAATTATGCTTTGTAACTATCGTGATTTGTCTGTTGAATAGAAAGTTAAATCTACAATCGATGAACATTGTAATTCAAGAGGGCATATAAAAAACAAACAAATATATGAAAATAAAAAAAAGTCAAAAAAGCAAGTTACACTTGCTTCTATGGTAGTTGTATCTGAATCAAAAAAAGAAGTTATAGAAGATTTAATTGAAGTTTTTTCTTTAGTAAATATTCCTCTTGAAAAAGTAAATAGCTTACTTTCTTTTTTTAGAAAATACCTTAAAGAAGATAGCACAATTCCTCAAGTCTTTACATTACATCAAATTTATTTATCCTATGTATTTAATAATTATTTTTTTTTATTTTAAGATCTTTTTGAGCAAAAACCTATAGCAATAATAATGGATAAAACTACAGACAAATGCTCATATAGTGTAGTAAATACTCTTTTTATTTTTCATCAAAATACAAAATTAATCTCAATTGACTTTTTAAATCATGTGAATAATTTGATAATTGGTAAAGTTTTATTAGTTTTTCTAGCTAAATATAATATTTCTTATACTTTGTCAAAATTATTCATTTTTGATTTTGCAACCTAAATAAAAAAATATTATCATGAATTATTAAAACCAGTTATGTTACAATTAGTTCATGTGTCTTGTTATATACATATTATTAATCTTATTTGATAAGTTTAAATTTATATATACTATCATATAATAATAATAATAATATGTAATAGTAATTATATACTATATTTATTAGTAATACTTGGTGAACATTCCATGATTTTAATCCTATAAAAATTTTTTTGTCAAAAGTTAAAAAGGTATTTGTTAATTCATTTGCATATAAAGGTCATTATTTAAATTATCTTTGAATGCATGGGGTTGAAAATTCATGTAAAATTCTATAGCCAAACAAAATATATTGGAATTTGTGATTTAAAATAGTATTTTACACAAAGGATTATATCAAATATTGGTCTTCTTTTTTTTTGAGAAATATGAAAAAGATATGGGTAATGAGTCGATTATTAAAATAAATGAAATTCTAAATAATACTCCAAAAAAAAGCATAATTATTATTTATATTAATTTTATAACATGTTATGTACAAGAATTTGTTCACAATTTAGATTTTTTTTAGTAATAAAATAGGCTAATATTTCTTTATGTTGAAGAACAACTTGAATAACTTTCATTATTTATTAAAAGAAATATTATAACACAAGATTTTGGATCTAATTTAAATAATCTCATTATGCAGTTTCACTTTAATTTGAAAGAATTTAATAATACTTTTAGGTCAGCATTTGTTGTTGTATATAATAAATATGCACTACACATTCTGCATTATCTTGCATATTCTTTATTTCAGACTTGTTACATTTTTAACACTTTATATATTAAAATTGGAATTAAGTGGGTGATATTTTAAGAGGTGTGGTGATTTAGTGAAGTAGATAAGTTGTCAACCCCTCAAGTGGTAGGTTGAGAGTTCAAAACCTACTGATGATAAAAATTTAGAAAACCACCTATGTTACATTGGTGTATATGGGCATCTGTGCAATGCTAGAGTTACACAAAGGAATGCAAACCATCATTAGGTGGTGCAAACACAAGATAAGTCCTTGAAACCAGTAATATGGCAATGGCTATCTATCGATCAGTTGGGATCAGTACCTGTAACATGGTCACATCAGATAACTGGCAGGTCATAGGGCATCTATGGCTATGTAAATCCGTGAACTAAGATAACTGAAGCCCACTTGGGAAGACCTGAGTAGAGAGGTAATACAGATCTTCGACAGTACTACTGTAAAGGCTAGATCTAGGAAACAGATACCAATGTAAAAGAAATCGGACGGGCAAGAACCTCAGTGAAGGGTACCACCAATCAGGCTACCAGAAGACTCGAATCAAAGAAAAAGGACCTTGGGGGCAGACCCTGAGATACCAGAGACAGGTCACAGTCCTACCGGACTATCTGGATTGGAAGTTTGAGGTCAGAAACAGGGGTATACTAAAGTACTAGGGATATGCTGTGAAGTCAGTACTGGGGTCTGGGTGAACTCTGCAAGAGCAAGCCCTGTTAGCAAAGATTAAATGTAAGTAGTTAGTTAGCAGGGGGGCCTCCTGGAGCCCTATAGTCAGGTAATATACTTTGAAATATGTAACAGCCTGACAGACGTACAGACAGAGAGGTCAAGATTAGATTAAACAGCATCTAATTAGGTGTACAGGAGCTTGTGTTGCTATCTGCTAGTGTAGTATAGGGGTAACCTTGTACAAGTTATGTAATTATAATTGAATTCACAATAAAGGCAGTAGCCACCATAACTAAAAGGCCTTAGCATAAGCAAAAAAAAAAAAAGTGGGTGATATTCTACATAGAGATCTTCATCAATATTTACCAATTATTGAACTTAATAATCCTTTACATAAACTTATACAAGAATGATCAATTTATTGTGGGTCTGTAAATGAGATAATTGAAGAAATAAATCTTTATAATTATTAGATAGGAATGCAATTAACTTTACCAACTTTATCAAGTATTGTGCTAAATTATATTTGGCTTCTAGTTTCTAACTGTAGTATAAAATGTAGTTTTTTTATGTATAACAATCTTTTAAATAGTGATCATTAAAATCTTTCACTTGATTCTTTAAAGCAATTATGCATGTTATATTTTAATGCCAATTAATTTTTTTGTTTTTTCAATTTTTTTATTAAATAAAAAATATATTTATACATTTTATTTTAAGCATATTAAATTATAGAATTAACACTAAACTACCACAAAATTACACCAAAATCAACTTTATTATTACAGAATTTTGTAGAATATGAGAAAAAAACAGCACATAATATCACAAAATTTTACTTAACTGAAAACAAAATTTGGTCTTAATCAAAACAGTAAATCATTGTCCCTGGTTTGGAATTCTTAAAGGATTTTACAATTGTATAGTAACTCAAATGACACAAAATAATATTTTACATGATTATATCATAATCTGTGCTATACACAATCTACAAATCATATTTTAAGAATCAGGTGTAATGCAATATGATAAATTCAAAACAAATGTTTGTTTTATAAAAGATTGTTTATTTCTTAAAAACTGCATAAAAAACCACTTTAAGTACTCTAACAAAAGGTTTTTCTTGAACAATTTTACTACATAACTATTTAGTTTTTAACTTTATTCTAAATGCTAATCCTAACATTAATGTACTTTAAATAATTTTGCTGCACTATCAACCTGGTACAGAATTTTTTTATACTTGCATCACAGTGTTAAATATATATTAAGCAATATGTATTTTTTAAAAAAAGCATAGTAAAGTTATTTATATTTAAATGTTTACAAGAAAACTAATAAAAAAAGATGTTGAGTAAAGTAAAAAATATTGTGCATATTAAAAAATATACAAAAAAAATATAAAAAAATAAAAGAATATGAAAAAAATGCACAAATAAAAATGTTAAAAAAAATATGTAAACAAAAAAATGCATAACAAAAAAGCATCAAAAAAAATACATCAAAAAAGTAAGTTATAAAGCATGAAAAAAAAATTGTAATTTTTTATTACAACAAATTTGCAAACTAGAATTCACTTTTTACAGTATTTGCAAAAACTATAATAACAATTCTTTCTGTTAATTATCAATACACAAAACCTGCAGAAACAAAAATCAAGACTAATAGAAAAACTAGTATCAAAATTGTGTTTGAAGACTTAATAAAAAAGAAAGAGTTTTTAAAATAAATCTAACAAATAGGGCAGTAAAAAAAAACAAGTCAAGAAATAAATAAAAAAAAAACAAACTTATTAAATAAGTCTTGAAAAACAAAAAATTTGGGAAAATAGCTTAGACCTAAAATTGCAGTTCTGTTTGAAACATATGAACATATAAAAAGACAAACAAATAAGCATATATAAATATAAACAGAATAAACATGTAAGTATTACAAAGTACATGTAATTGTAAACAAAAGTAGAACAGAATATAGTCAAAGATAATATAAGCAAAGACAAAAAAGTTAATGATACTAAAATTGGTAAATAAAAGAGCAGAAACAAAACTAAAGCTTATAAATAGCAAAAAATTAGAGCAAGAGTTAGCAAATAGAGATAACTATTTCAATATAAGAGATATAATAGCAGCAACATTATAGAAAACAGATTTAATAAAAACAGTAATACTAAGAAAAATATATGAAGTA